GCATAAAATGGTCAAACTATGTCATAGTATAGTATGGCATAAAGATGTCAAAAAATATGTTTCTATATTGTGTCATAAAAATGTCATGGTATACCAAGATATTTGACTGGAAAACCCATGACATAAAAGTAAGTAAGTCATAAAAAAACCGCCATAGTATAGTAAGGCATAAAAAGCCATAACATAGTAAGATATAAAAATGTCATAGTATAATGAGGCATAAAAAAGGTCATAGTCTAGTCAGGCATAAAAAAAATCATTGTATAGTAAGTCATAAAAAGACGCAATAGTATAGCAAGGCACAAAAACACCATAGTACAGTAAGGCATAAAAATGACATAGTATAGTCAGGAATAAAAAGTCATATAATAGTTAGGCATAAAAAAGTCATAGTTTAGTAAGTCATAAAAAAACTATAGTATAGCAAGGCATAAAAATGTCCTAGTATAGTTAGTCATTAAAAAACGTCATAGTATAGTAAGGCATAAAAAGCCATAGCATAGTAAGACATAAAAAAGTCATAGTATAGTAAATCATAAAAAGACGCAATAGTATAGTAAGGCACAACAACACCATAGTATAGTAAGTCATTAAAAAAAGCACCATAGTATAGTAAGGCATAAAAAATACACCATAGTATAGTAAGGCATAAAAACAATATAGTATAATAAGGAATAAAATATCATAGTATAGCAAGACATAAAAAGTCAAATTATGGTAAGGCATAAAAAAAATCATAGTATAGTAAGACATGAAAACGTTATAGTATAGTAAGTCGTAAAAAAAAACAATAGTATAGTAAGGCATGAAAAAAACCCCATAGTATAGTAAGGTATAAACAGCTATAGTATAGTAAGACATAAAAACGTCATAGTATAGTGAGTCATAAAAAGATGCCATAGTATAGTAATGCACAAAAACGACATAGTATAATAAGGCATAAAAATATCATAGTATAGTAAGGAATAAATTGTCATTATATATTAAGGCATAAATGTCATAGTATATTAAGGCATAAAAACCTCAAAAGGGCAAAAGACCCAGGATCAAAACAACAACACTGCAAACACAAACAACATGGTGGGTCTGATGTTCCAAGTTTGTATCACTACTTCCTCTCCCACAGGCTTCAGTATAGCCACACAACACTGGAAAAACAATTCCAATTCTGCCTGGCTTTATATTGACCAGACCGTCTGTAAAGCTTTTGCCATACAGCATATTGCATTCATAGATCAATAAATTAAACCAATTGACATACCTGACTTCAAACTGTCTTCTTGTACTTTGAATCCTATCTGACATAACCCTGTCTTCAAAATCAATAAGGAACCTATCAACTTCCCTGCATGGAAACAGAGAGGAGTAACCAGCCTGGGGCACCTTTTCAGAGGCAGTTCTCTCATGATTTTTGACCCTCTCAAACAAACATACAGTGTATTACCTCACCACTGTCACTACAAGTACATACAAGTGATATAAAAAAGATCCTTCCATAACTCCACTTCTGTTACTACTATGCTCATTGCACCCCAAAAAATTACTATCACAGATTTATAAACTCTTTTTTCATCGTGACAACATTGTTTCAATAGCAATAGACTAATGGACATCAGACTTGAATCTAGAGTACATCAGTCACATATGCACTAGCAAACTATATGTAATAACATATTCTCTGTGTCATACAGCTCAAAAATCCAACTAATTCAATACAAAGTGCTACACAGAGTAAACACAGGTGCAACACCTGCACACACTGTCCTACTGCAATACACAACCACTTTCATTGCCCCCCCTTCCTCTCCCCCTCCACCTAACTTTCATCTTAATAGCATTGACTGTGGCCAAGAAACCTCAATACTCAACTGCAAAGACAGAACAAAATTATTAATAAATCTGTATAGATGTATATGTACAGTATAACTAAATTATGTATTTGTGTCATTTCAAAGAACCATGTCAGTATTTCTAACCATGATAACTAAGTATACTTTACACCAAAAACCATTTAACAGGGAAGCATACCATACATTCTTGCATTCATTAGTTTTTGCCTTCCATGCTGTTATTGGTCTCACTCTTTTCAGTAATTTGTGACAGTGAACTTGTGGCAATCATTGCATTACATTGTAAAAACAACCCGATTTACTTTTGTGTCAGAGTTATAATGGTCATACAGCAAGGCGGTTGAGAGGAGGGATAGTTTAGAGGAGTTTAGTTTCTTCCTGTCAGTGCATTATTGACCTTACCTTCGGAGTTGGCTGCTATCCAATCTCACTTTAATGTTCATGACATCAGTGTTTTCTTTGCTTGCTGTGTGTCTTGTGGATCTGATCAAAGATCATTAATTAAATTAACTGAAACTTGTGCCTAAAAGGTAAACTTCCTCCAAGTTTTGGAGGTCTTGGGCGGAGCCCCTGTGACCCATCTCACCTGTGACAAATCATGTCTGATGAAATAAAGAGGCAGGACTCATGAGGACAACCTTTTCCCCCAGTATCTTGTTTGGACTGTGTGAAAATCATCTGTAAGTATGGTTTATTTGATTCTTTAAGAATTAAATTATACTCTTTGATATCTCTTGTGGTTTGTTACTTGGCTTCATAGTTTGTTGACACTTTTGTTAACTTTTTTTTTTTTAATTAAGCATTACAATTTTTTCTTCTGTTTATAACCAATTAAAATGATTCCTCAATATAAGAATGGCTTGGAACATCTAAGCTTTTGGTCAAAGGTGCTAATAGATAAGCCATTGCTTTTATAGACATGGCGACACCCAGACTCTTAGAAGAGTCCACAATCCTCTACAGCAGCTTAGACTGAGGAAAACTGAGTCGAGTCTGAAAGTGTAGAGCTGAACCTGACTAGCTGAGCCCAAGATGTCCTAAAATGGCTGCTGTATAGACAGGCAAACCTGTCTTATAATGGCACCCTCAGGTCATACTTTACATTCTTCTACCTCGCTCATGGTAAGATACTAAGAATAGCAAAATTATCTCTATTTTTATTCCGGCTTTTCTTACCCAGCATCTTTGTCTGGGGCTGTCTAATGAGCTTTCCAGCCTCACAGGGCATTGCTATAAACTTTTAGTCTTGTTAAATCCATATTGGGAAACAGACTCAGGCTACAGTCTACACTGAGAGAGGAGAGCTGCAACTGAAAGGGCCTTGCTCACTCATGTCTGATTGTAAAGGCCCAGCGAATTATCTTCCAGTGTCTCTACCAGGCTGTAGAGAGGCTGTCTTGCTTCTGGGCTTCAGGCAGAGCATTTCTGATCAGCCTTCTTCCTGTTGCAGCCTCTGATGCTCTATTGCTTTTGCAGTGAGCTGTGTCATCAGCTCAATTCTTAGGACTTCAAGATTTTTGAAGCCACATGCTTCTCCATTTGGCTCTTTGGTCCATATCTTTTTCTTTATCTAAGCAGCCCTATGTAAAACAGTGTAGTGCCAGGTACACAGGAAAGGCATTATTTTTTGTTGATGCACTAGAATGAAATTGGCCCTCATGAGAGACCATACAATAGTAGTATTATTAAGCTGTAGTTAAATTTTAAGGTCCCCTATGAGTCGGATGGAAGCTGAGCAGTGTGTCATGATTACTCAGTCAATGATGTTTATTAGTTTAATTAATTAATGTATTACATCAATAATAATGTATTAATTTTATCCAGAATTCACAGCAAATGATTGAGAGTGAAGAATCAGACAGCTTTGTATAACAGATAGATTTATGTGAATCTGAGTTGATCCCACCACTACCACGGCCGCAGGTAAGTCAATTACTTCCTTCCAAGACAAAGACAACCATGTAGATCTCAGCTTATTACTGATGATGATGATATATGCATGATATATGAATCATCACTGTTCAACTTGTGTTTAATCATTTAACTCTGACATAATAAGGGTAACTGAAGTGATTTGGGGGTGCACACCTCAGAAACACGTAACTGAACCTCCAAAGTCTTTATGTATTTTTGTCTAAAGTTTAGATCTTAGCAACTAAAAGACCAGAAAAGACTGCAGAGGTAAGGTGGTTGTGCAGTGTTGGCACACAATAGGGTGCTGTTAAAATGTATGTCTTTTTTCTGGATTTTTCATTGTAGCTAACTTGTCCTCATTTTTTTTTTTCTTCAGTATCACAAAGAGCCATAAAGAGCCAAGGAGCAGGCTGTGACGTGGTTTCCATGGGAGTACAAAGCTTTTTGATGCCTCGCCATGGCCACTTAAGACCTACCTCCTGGATTTCACTTCCTGTCTGTTCTGCCAGGCTCCTCAGGATCTGCTTGAAGAACAGGGCTGGGTCTGCCAGGAACACTCTGCTCCAGATCCTTCAGCATGAGGCAGACTTATACAATATGTAGTTGCAAGTGCTGGTCACATAGTTGAGAATAACACTGATTAAACCTCTATCACCTATAGTATGTTCACTAACTTTGAAAATGCATTTTTTTTGCCTGTTAGTTAATTTGAACCTTGATGCACCAGAGAGTTAATTTCATATAAACTCAGTCATCTTTAAAAAAAAAAATATATAAACCACTATCCAAAAGATAAAAACACTCCATATTAAAATATGTTTTTACAAGACAACAATTAAAACCATTTTAAAGCCTGTCTGATGTAAATATTCTCCTGTATCTGGCAGGTGTTTACAGACAACACTCAATGGCTATAGTCTGTCATCATGTCATTTGTATGGTGGCATTTTAACACGAGCCAGTTTGTTTTGTGCACATTAGGTAGGAAACGTGCTCGTCTCTCCTAACAGGGTCTGTGACATCTGTGAATAAAGATCACTAGCTGAAATGCTTCTTCAAGATAATCTCATATTAGTTTAGTGTTTATTTAAGTAACTATTAAAATATGGTGTTAATATACAAATTATTGTTCCAATCTCTCATTCTTTCAGTCATTGTTAGCATCAAATGTTACTGTATATTACCCAAATTTTAATATATTCCAGAGTGGCATAAATAATCTTTTCTGCACCCTGAAGTGCATTCATTCTTACCAACTGAAATAGTTTTTTTAAAAACTGACAGTTTTATTTAAAAAAAAAACATATGTAATTTTTTATTGTTTTCCTTACAGCAGTTAGCAATAGTTTAACTATAGCAAGCCAAAAATAAATACAAATTTTAAATAATTTCAACAATGTGTTTCATTCAACAGAGCAACAGTAGCATTTCACATTAGGAGGGCACAAAATCCAACACACAGGCATGGCTTCCTGTCTGATCCTTACCTCAAAAGTGATTAACGTGGTCAATTCTTTTTTTTGTTTTTTTTGGTTTTTTTTTTGTTTATTCTGCAATGATTCATTTTTCAATGTCAAATTACACAATATATTTTTGTCTGTGTGGATTAAAGAAAAAACGCGCAGAGAGGAAGCCATTGTGGTGCAACTGGACTCGGCCCAGCAGAAGCAGTTAGGAGACAATGTTTAACATGCGGGGCGAAACATTAAGACAAGAGGAGAATACTACAAGCAAAGTGCATAAATATTCAAAATCAAAATGGGAAATAACAGACCCCTAAAAAGCTACCATAGGCGAGCTATTTAGAAAAATCTCACTTTTTAATTTTCCATGTACAAAGAAAAAAGTTTTTGTTTATTTCAAAAAGGGTGATGTGACAATTGTAAGTCACGTTTATTTTCCCTGACAGATGTGAAAGCACTAGGCAACTGAGGCAACAATGCCCTCCGTTAGCCCATTCTATGAGAGTCCAGCTGTCCAATCAAAAATCTCCTCCAGCCTGTCACACCACCCATTCACCAATCGCTGATGTATAATGTACAAGCACACACAATTTAACATCCATCTAACCCAGATCACCCCATTTCCCTTACGCCGTCTCGTCTGATCTATTCACAGAGAAGTTGTGTAGGCAATAGTTGTCAAGATGGAAGTAGATCCAAAAACACTTACACACAAGCATACTCGCACATACACACACACAAACAACCTCCCCTCTACATCCACTGTTAATTCAGTGCATTCATTTGTCATTGATCCTTGTCCATGACTTCATTTCCCTTTGTGGCTGCGTTGCTCCCATGTGCTTTTGGCAGTTGTACGGAGGCCTGGCAGGGCCACATAGTCTTTCTGGAAGCGTGAATTGGGTGTTCTCTGCCGTTTCCTCTCCCCCTGCGTGGTAAAGAAAGCATCCTGGAAACGCATGCTTGAGGCCGTGGACTATAGAAAGGGAGACACGGGAGAGAGATGAGTAAATAAGAAAATGTCTCAGGTGGTGAGAGAACTTTTTAACTTTCATGTCTTTTATTAAAGTATCAAACTTATGTTTTTAAGTTTAAGTTTATGTGTTGCCCATTAAGTCTAATACTTACAAGTCTACGTTTCACCTTTTTAGGCAGGTCTTCATCTAAAGTATAGACATCTTCTCTCTTTGCCAGCACCTGAGACCCATCCTCAAATTCCACCTGAGACGACATAAAAATATTCAGCTCTTATCCATGCAATTTAAATAAATGGAGTGTACATTTATCCAAAACACTTTACAATTTGCTATTGCCCTTTACCCATGCACACTCAAGGTTAGATGTATAATTTCCACTGGGTACTTTTCAAAATCCAATTTTTATTCACCCCTAATTTTATAGTTTCAGATAAACTTTTTTTTTTTTTAACCAATGTCTCTTTATTCACTGCCTTGTAACTGTCCAGCTACCATTACTCAGATGAGAGTTCATAAAAATTGCTGATATCATCTTCAGTTATTACCATAGAGCAATAAGCTTAACAGGCAGCACCTAGTGATGAGCAAACTTGTTTTTTTCCCTGTGTTTTGCTTCTCAGACAGTCCTACCTTGTTGGCTGAGCAAACACTACAAAGATCTGAAAATGTACTGCCACCTTTTCTGCATGTTTTTCAGTTAAAAACAATTCATCTGTGTTAACTTACAGTTAATAGTCTTCAGTCAAGGGTAAGACAGTTCTTTGTAGTGAAATTAAACATACGTCTTGTTAGTGCATAAACAATGCAGAGGTTTACACAGCATTTCCAATGTTTCTTTTTAATTCTACCGTTATTATGGAAAGCAAGATAACCAACTCCATCATAATGTTGTTTCATCATACATTACAAAGAAGAAAACTGTATCAACATTTCTATGTCTATGTGAGGAAACAAACAGCTCTGAATATGCAGTGTGATATGACAGTGTGGGGGGAAAAAAAGGAGCCAATCTTGTGTCATCTCTGTTCTCAAAAACAAATGTTTTCTGCTCAAGAAATTCAAATTTTGTAAGCCACGCAGATGTGGAAGTAAAACACAGCCTGAAACCATTTCATACCTAAGCACACCTTGACAATGGAAAGCTCTTGTTCAGCCTTATTTTAAAATCTGACCCATCTTAAACCAAGTGTGTGCGTCACAGATGCATTTGTGCATAACTAATGGTTGACGCCCAGCTCAACTAAATAAAGCTTTAAGTGGAAGCCACATGACTCTTTGCTTAGTGAATATTTCAGTGAGTTTGAATAATGCAGATTGTCACCTCCTTCTCATCCTCCTCCTCCTATCTTGCTCTCTTCATCTCTTTCTCTCCCCATCTGCTTTCACTGTTTGAATAGTTTTTGCTTCCTATACATCTGTCTTTTCATCCTCCCATCATCTGCCATCTCCTTTTCTTCTCGCCATTTCTTTAGTCACCATGACTTCAGCACCTCCCTCAGTCTGTTTCCAGTGTCTTTATTTTTTTTCCCCGTCACCTCCCCACACATACTATAGACCTGCGATAATTGACAATGTCACTGGAGTCACGATGAGTCTGAGGGAGTTCAACAAGTTTTTGCTTTGACCTACAACAGAGCTTTCAATTTTATTCAGCACTATCAAGAAAAGGATTAAATCTGTACAATTACATCATGGCCATCCCTCCCTTACACACTGCTGTCTTGATTGTGTACTGCATGTCTACAGTTCATGTATGTGTACCTGGTACATGTAGGAGATGTTGGATCCCAGGTATTTGGCACCATAGAAAAGCCCATCAGGCCATTTCACTTGAACAGCTTCACCCACTTCAGGAGGACCCAAGTTCACACAATCTCTGCTCTAAAAATACAAGAGAATAATGATTGGTTGTGTAAGTGCCTGAGTGTTTGTCAAAGTGTCCCCAAAAAGACGTATGAGAAGTGTCATTCACAGTGGGTGGTTTGATGTTGAAAAAAGCTCTTTTTAGTTTTAAGGATTACTGTTAGAATTAGGTTAATGTCATGGGTAGACTTGACTCAAACAGCCTCTCTATCCTGCTGTTTGACAAGTCTGCTGTGAAAGTTTCAAATGCACCATGATCTCAACACCTTATTTCTTTCTGCATGTGTACATTTGTAATGTGTATGGAGACCTTAAAACAAGCACATTCCTCACTTTAAGACTAATGTCCAACCTCTCATACAGACTCAGTCTTTGTAAAATACACATAACAGTATGTATTTTTAAATTTATCCTACATCCTGATGATTAAAAAGTTAGGACAAATTACAATTTGAATGATAATGATGTTCAAAACATCTAAACACAACATGAATTAGGATATGAAAAGATCACATCAAGCCCTGATGAATCGAATGGTGTAGTCAGATTTTGTAATTGGGATTGTATCAGATAAAAACAATTTGTTTTATTTAAGGCTTTTAAAGTAAGAATTAAAGAGATGCACAATGTGCTGCACAGCTAAAGAAGACTAGGTCAACTAAGGATGTGGTTCAGGATTGAATGTCCTCACTAATACAGTAACACACAAGTGTGTGGATGTGTTTGTCACAGCTACTTCTCTGAAACAGTGTTAAGCTCACCAAGTGAGACTCAGTCATTACCATAATCACTTGAACAAATCCATGAATTTCAACTCATCAAGAACGGTCATGTTAGTGATTATTTGCTGCTACCATGACAACTCAGCATTCCTCTGATACTGTGTTTCAGTTTGAATGGCCTTTTAGAAATCCACGTTGCTTCATGGCACTTGCAGAAAGGTTTAGAGAAATTATATATAATCACTCTTAATCACAGTGGCTTTGCAGATGCACAACTTTAAGATGTTAAAGCAAGCTTATTGGTAATCCCTCATGCAATGACCATTTGAGTACCAGAATGTTTTTCTAAAAAAAAAAAAAAAAAAAAAAGGCTCCTTTCAAATGAGGGGGTTTTAATATCTGATGTGACCTCACACAACTGGGAGGTGACCTCTTGAACCTGTATCTAATTAAACATATTCTCACCACTATATCCTCGGGGTAGGTATCGTTGGAGAAGGAGCCGTCATCAAACATGACCTCATAGAACATCTGGGAGGTGATCTGTGTGACCTTGGAGCTGTAGTAGCGCAGGTTCTTGTGTTTGGAGATCACCGTCTGCCCCAGTGAGATGGATGCTTGGCATGCTCGCTGCTTCTATTATAGACAGAGCAGGGAGCTGCAATTAGACTAATGTATGACAATTAATACAGTATGATGTCAAACCAAATCCTCTATGTTACCCTATGATCATTTTAAAAGGTCTGATACCCAAATTACTAAAATAAATATTTTCTTATCCACATCTAATGGAATCATTTGGTTTCATTTGTCCAGGGTTTTAGCTCTTGCAACCCCAATAACACAGAGGTGAATGTAATTTAGTTTGTGATGTTCTCAGCATTGAAATTTGCACGTCTTTCCAAAAACACTGTCCTCATGAATCTGGATAATCCACAGACCTTGCTACGGACACTTTTCATTGAAGCTACTTTGTACAAACCAAATTAAAACCAAAACTATCTGGAGGTTAAGTGAGTGAAAAGGTTTTTGTGATTTCAGTGAACTGAACCTTTAAAAGGAAAATAATGCATTTTAAAGGATATATTTTTTTTTTTTTATTACAGTTAAAGCAAAAAAAAAAAAAAATTTTTTTTTTTTTTTGTTTTAACTGAAATAAAAAAAAAAATTTTTTTTTTTTTTTGTTTTAACTGAAATAAAAAAAAAAATTTTTTTTTTTTTTTGTTTTAACTGAAATAAAAAAAAAAATTTTTTTTTTTTTTTACGTTAAAGCAAAAAAAAAAAAAGAATCAATGGTATAATAGAAAATCTACTCTCAGCAAATTCCATCAATATGGGTATTTTTTATTAATTCACTAAATCACCACTACGACGTGTAAAGCCACCTATTACACCAGCTATGTGTAAGTTAAACACAGTGTACGCAGTGTGGGAGTTCTGCTATAACATGTTGCACCATACAAATCAATTACAATGTAGAGTTAAGATGTGACTTCATATTTACACCTCCCTGAGCAGGCTTAAGTCATTTATCATTCACTGTTAACATGGTGGCAGCAAAGTAAGAAGAAGCAGAGGAATATTTTATTCAATATTTACACCAGGAACTCATTTCCTGTGACAGACAAAGGAAAAGTGTTATTTTATGCAGGTGGGAATTTTCTACACGAACATGTACTATAAGTCTTTCACAGACTTTTGTTGATGATGGTGTATGCCTGTTAAAACAGAAACAATCACCATATTTTAATTATTATTAATGCGGTAATGTTAGACAAATTTGTTGTATCATGTTCAGCGAATTCACACCTGATACTATACATACTTTCTCTTTTGTAGTAAAACAGCCTATTGTAGGTCTATTCTTTGCCATCAGTACGTTCTCACTCATATTAGCCGCATGTTGCCAATGAAGTCAGTTATCTCTATCGATCTTGTACAAGACTGAAAACAGGCCAACACAATGCCTTGTCCGCTCTTACTGAGCTCAACTTGGTTCATAACAGCTGTAGGAAGCACCAGTCCTATAACTTACAGCTGACGAACTCCGTGATTGGTGTCTATGGCAGGTGATTGACACAACATACGGCCAATCATCAGGCTCCATGATTACACCAGCAGCATGGGCACAGGTGACGTGAAAGGAGGTGGGACACCGGCCACATGAGCACTGGATGCAAGCGCCTGCCTGCCGCTTCCCTGCGCAGCGTTTACGACAATAGATGCACTTCTGTAAACACAGACAGACCAGAGCAAACCGTCAATACTAAGCACTGACCAATGAGGGACTGAATTCACTGAGGTTAGAGCTGGGTCCAAATTATTAATACTACATACAAATAATATGGAGTATACAGTAAGTGCAATGATGGTAGGTAAATTAAGTGAAAGGCAGGACAATGCATACAAAATCGATGGGCATTTTAAGTATGCTGGTAGTCCAAAAAAGATTTTAAAATTGTCCCATAATTCTTTGCAACTTGTTCCCACAACAGCAACCAGAGGTGTTTGACAAGGGAGCTCAGAAATACAGGACTTGAACATGACAACCCAAACCAGGATTAATCTGTTTCATGAAAACACATTAGAGCTAGTGCGATCAGATTACAGGCAGGTCAAGTCTGATTCAAGAACAGCTTGTTCACACACAGAGGTGAGACATCCAGCACAGATCATATCGATTGAAAATAAAGACAAATCTGTGAAATATTTGTGGCAATAGTGATAACACATACTAAACATATAACACGAAAAAAAACAAAAACAAACGAAAACTAAACAAAACCACTGCAGTTAACAAAGCAAAAGGGACTTTTTGCCAGCATGTTGTAGCTCAGCAGTGAGCTGGTTCTGCTGAAGTCGGAGAGCTCAGGTTGTTGCAGTGTTCTGCTTGTAATTCATGTAATTTTGGGTTTCAGTGTGACTTTGATGTTTACATACACAAAGGACAGAATGAGAAAGTAAAGACCTTCTCTGACATCAAACCAACTGTCACTGAGTAACTTTATTGCAGTTCAGGAAACCTGACATTGTTCAATAGTGTAGCTTTTGGAACAGGGTAAAAAAATAAGTAGTTTAAAAGCTGTATTTCCACTTGAGAGACCTTGAATATGAGCTCAAGAAAACCAGCAGCGAATTAAAGACAAGAGACCGCTAAATGAATCATTGCTCGGTTGTGGCATGAACCTCTAACATTATTTAAAACCATTATGTGCTCCAAATAATCATATCTGTGAAATCTGTTCAAGACGCTGTTATTGGATACGGTGGTGTAAACAAAAGATAGATAAGAGAGTATAAAATGAGGAGAGAGCCAGAGCCAGAGTTAGCGAGAGTTATTCCACCACTACAATATAAGGAAACCCTCAAATAAGACCAATCAGATGACATCATTTGAGGTTTCCACAACAAACCAGTGCTGCTATGTCTATGTTGTGGTATTGTTTTTTCCCCCTGCTTGAGGTCTGAGAGCAGTACACAACCGCACATTGGAGGGCATAATACACATAAAGACATCCAACGCACAAACACCGCCATGCATCCACACGCAAACACACTCATACCTAAATTTTTAAGACTATCCCTTGGTTTTCTGCACCAAACAGCCCATCAAGTCCATTTCCTCTACAGTGACATCTCCCCTCTCCTCCTCTCCCACAAATCCTTCACTCTCCCACTAAAGGGAAAAAATGACGACATCATCCCATTATAACCCTACTCGTTCCCCATTCCTCTTTCACCCCTTTTGCATGCCTCCCATCTCACTCCATTTACTTCACTCTCCTCCTAATAAAAACACACCCATCTATGCTCTCTTTTTTTCGCTCCGCTTCCCCGCCCTGTCTTCCTCTCTCTTGAGGTGCGGTTTCACATCTCTCTGAAGGTAATTTATTCATTAATCTAATTCCTGTGAATCCATACATGTTGACAGATCATATGCCTATATATAGAAAAACTCCCCAGAGGATATGCCTCAGCATTATGTGAATTCAAAGTGGGAATTAGTTGGTTTGTAAATATGAATTCTAGTGTGTGGAAGGGTCTGATGACATGTTATCTGTCATGTCGGTATTTTATCATACGCATAGAAGAATTGGATGTATCTAAACAGAATGTGTGGGACTTTAGAGATAATACAATATTAAAAATGACGTTAGGAGGATTCAATTCCTCAGTATATATATATAGAATAGGAAATGTTCATGGCCCCAGGAAGACTAGCACAGCATTCAATAGGTGGATGAGAAGGTGATGCTGTGGGAATAAAAACCTTTTTTTAAAGTCTCTGTCCTTATCAGGTGAGCCTCTGAAATAAATGCCCTTTGTTCATTTCTTTGAAAAATCAATAGCTGATCTAATTAATTAACTTAGCCAGTATTAATTAAATTTAACCTCTGCAGCAGGGCTGGCCTCACCTATACAATTATCAGCTTAACCTACTTAATTCAGACATCAGCTGAGGATCAGGAGGTATTGTGTACAGCGAGACACTAAGAGAAGTTCTCTTTCCTTCTTGTAAAGCAACACAATACTCAATTTAAAATGGGTGATGAAAACCCTTAACTTTATCCCTTTTTTTTAATTTTTTTTTTTTATTAATGAAGCTTCTATTGCTTTGCCACTCCTCTATTTCTGAACTGTGGGACTTTTACTGAGTGCTTTTCTCAGTGACTAACTTGGCCTACATTTCATAAAGCCTTTTCCCATACCTCCTCCATTATGGACAGCAGTGCACTGATGAACTGGCCTGACTGTCTCGTCCACCCTTTTGAGGCCAGCATGACAAGATTGTGACTGGCATGTAACACAATCTGTGTGTGTAGTGGGGGAGGTAAATGTGTGCATTTGTTTGTGTACATCTACATTTCTTGGTGGAAAAACAACATGTATAAGATCATAAAGTTGTGTAAATATGTCAAAGTAATTTTATGTTTTAGTGTGTGTGAGTTTATGTGCGTGTATGAGCCTAACCCACTTTCCCCCCATGCCGGTGCCTTCTCCACAGTGTATTTGGGTGCCTGTGTTGAACCATGCGTTAAGAACATTCCCACAGTAAATTATGAATGTGTATGTGCGCGCGCCTGTGTGCATGTGTGTTGTGTGATAGTGAATTATGAATGTACCGGGCTACTGCAGGGGCAATGGGTCCATTGCGAGCTTTAAAAACACATGGCTCACAAAGCAAATATACAAATGATGAAGTGGACAAAAGAGAAAGGTGTAACATCCTCAATCTCATTTCATTTAAATATTAATAAAGATAAAATCTGTTTCATCATAATGCAAAATCTTTTTTCTATTATTATTTATTTGAACATTCTGTGCTGTGTGTCATGTTTTTACCTTAAACTAGAACTCAAAAGAGGTTGTTTGAAAGAGACCCATCTGTTTTATCATCAACTGAAGCATGGTCCACCCAAAAAGCTCTTGTGTCAGCATGTTAATTAGTGAGAAATTGGCAGCCGAAAGTAAAGACTTTGCGTCATCATGTAGTGTGAACAAACAGATTGCTGCCATGGATGCATCCTCAGATCAGATACACCTTCCAAAGGGAAGAAATTTACAGTGCATGATTTTCAAAGATTCTGCTGAAAGAGTGCAATCTGTTGTGTCAAGTAAAAATTGGCACTGTGACAAATTTAACAGCATTTAACAACTAAGAGAAGGAAGTGCTGTTTTCACAAAAAGGAATTTAAATCAGTACAAGATCTGAAACATTTCGTCTATCATCAGGATCATATCAGTGACTTTTTATGAGCGTCCCACCCTTTCCAGTCTGGACTATAATTTTCATTTTGTTTAGATTTTGGCCCATGGATATGGAAACTGACTTTGTGGTTTGTGCTTTCACATCCAAATGAGCTTAATTTCAATGTGGTGTGAGGAGATATGAACCATATCCCTGTAAATACCCTGTGGGTAATGTCACTGTGTCCACAAAGTTAGTGTCCCATTCAGTGACAGTGCAGTAGTGTCCCCTCAATTATATTCGGGTAAGCATGTGGGAAGATAGATTGGCTGGTTCTCTTGTGGTGGAGTATGACATTGATGTTAAAACTACAGATGCAATGATTCGTTGATTAATTGTTCAACTGTAAAATAAAGAGAAACTATTTTGATAATCGAATAATAGCTTTGATCATTTTTAGCAAAAATGCAAAACATTTGCTTTTTGAAGCTTTTTCTGTGTAATACACAACATAAAAATGAATATCTTTGGAATTTGGACTATTAGTCGCACAAAACAGGACATGAAGATGTTACCTTGGACTCTAAAAAATAATATCACTTTTCACAATTTTCTTACAGTTTATAAGCAGTTGTAGTTGTAGCCCTGCTTACAAAGTTGAAGCCACTATACACTCAGTTGCAAGTTTATTAGGTACAATTTGACTATTAGGTTTATAATATTGATTGGTTAGAATTACTGTCCAGGGTTTGCGTTTCTTTATGCTCCGATTCAATAGCTGATAGTTGAGAGATGACTGAATTTTTGGAGTGGGGGGTGGGGGCTGTCACTGGTGTGGAGGGATAACAAAAACTGAACATTACAACCTTTATGAAGGTATGATTATTTCAGACCTAATCACATAGCACCTGAGTTTATATCTACACCAACCTCACAATCAAATGCAGCATTTCATTTCATATATGTAAATTGTCTTCATGTCACTGTCACTCATTAATCTTATTTGTCGCTTTAGAATACTAAATTTATAGCACATTAAATTGTGTTTAGGGGTCTTTTACAGAGTCGCACCTCATGTCATAATCAATCAAATATCCTTCTGTGATACTCACTGCTGAAACAATAATGTAAGCTGGAAATGGAAGGCAGTAGTTATCTGTTATCTATCTTGTGTTAGGATGTACCTCTCCAACACTTTGGTTTCTGCTGAGCTATCAGGTTGCCTGCAGCACAGAGCTAACTATAGTGGCAACATGTCAGGTCTGCTGAGACACACTCCAGCTCTCTCATTAAGCAAACACACACACACACACACACACAATAAATGAAAATGAATACACATCCACATACAGACAGATACACACCCAGACGTAGACAAACACTCGCACATGGACAGCCCTCCACACACAAACCCCCTCTCCCACCCACCAGTGGTTAATTATCTAGCTTTGATTGCGGGCATGTTCGTCTCACATTGTTAATTAGAACTGTGAACACTTCATTAATTAGACCGAGCCAGTCCTCAAGGACCCGGGGAATTCCAGTACTGCATCTGTGTGTGTATATGTATGTATGTGTGTGTGTGTGTGTGTGTGTGTGTGTGTCTCTGTATGTGTTTCTCCTCACCAGTTTATATCGCTGCATGGGGATCCTACTGGTGTCAATGGGACCTCTCTTGGCTTCATCGCTGAACCTCGCCTCTGGCAGTGCTACTGCACACATCACATGGGCCCATCTATACATACAAACATATTAATACATTATACATTATAACGATTAAGACGCACAGACAGTTCATTCATCTGAGCTCTGGAGATCAGAGATGAGTATGCCGAGCTAATCACAGAACAAAAGCTTGTCTCACTTGTCGTTTTGGGTTTTCTTCAGAGCTCCACCTCTGAGGTTGCAGAGACAGCATTCCTGAGAAAACAGAAGGGGAGACAAGTCAGTAAGAGACATGTCATGTAAATACCTACATATAATAACTGCATTGCGTGTGGCACAAGGTCCGATTCAGAGAAAATCAGATAATGACACAAAGTAGCGTGAGGGACAAATAGCAACATCTTTTTTGTAGGAGGAACAGTGAGGACTATGGAAATCCATGATTTTGTTTTATATTAAAAGGGGAGTTTAATTTTAATCACGAAACAGTTGTGGGGTCACTTGTTTTTTAACTTAAATCTATTCCAGTCTGTTCTCCTCCTCACTAAGACAAGATAATGCACACGAAGTTATGATATCACAAAGTAACAGCAAATAGTAACATCTTCTTTGAGAGCGAAACTGTGAGGCTTTTGGAAAATGTGGTCTTTAGCTAAAGAAATATTTGCACTAGCAACAACCTCAGCATGAGATAAAGGCTGGTTCGGAGTCAATGAGCAGGAATGACTGTTTTCATCATTGATGTCTTTCAACAGCTTTGCACCTACATGTAATGTGTTACAATTACACTGCTAAGAAATCATAGAAAGGAAAAGTGGCATCATATAGAGGAAAAAAAATGTCTTACTGCTGTAAAGCTTCCTTCTGTACAGCGATCACATGACCACTGCTCGCTGACGTCATCTGCGGCAACACCATAGCAACCTAAAAGTGGTGGGGTAGATAAAAATGAATGTGCGTAAAAGTGAAAATGTTAATTTTCTCTAACTTGGTCTCGTGGTATCGATGAACCATTCACAGAAAACAGCTTTACTGACAGCAAATGGTTAAGTCCATCATTAGGAATAAAAGAATAAAATAACACAGTCACATTGTTTCCAGAGATTCTTGACAGAAAGATGCTACTGTCTCATGCAGACATGCACATCATTGCAAACTAAGTGGAAATGGAGATCTTTATGGTATGAAGGGTCTGTGTCTACATGTGGATGTGAATGTTGGTGTGGTTAAGCAAGAAATGGAGACAACACAGGAGGAACAGTTGCTGTACATCTATATGCATCATGTTTGTTTACAAATGTATCTGTTTGTGTGTGGTTATCCACATGTCAGAGCGCTTTGAGTGATAGCAGCCATGCAAGACTTGCACTGGCGTGACAGTATGCTTTAGTTCCACACACTTGTGCAGCTAGCCCTTTGTAACCCATACAACATGTTTGACAGACACTGCAAAGCATAAAGTAGCATGAAAAGCACCAGCCACTTTGTGTAAATATTGTTGTTGTTTAGTTTTGGTCTGTGTCCTTGGTGTGGCAGGGGAGCACTAATGTTTTAGAAAGAAATAAAATAAATTGTGGTAGCTTCTAACAGAAAAACATTTTAAATATTTCAAACTAAGACAAACATGATTCTTTTCAAAGCTGGCAGCTGGTTAAAATCCATGGGTTGGAGGCTTTACAAACATAAGCTCAAGGGAATTTTTATTTGTAAGAAACACTTAAACTCTGTATATGAGTATATGTCTCTGTTCTTTTCCCCCACAATCCATCACAAAACCAAAACATAAAAATCTAAGCTCACCCCCTTTTTCCTCTCCCGAGTTCAGATAACAGTATGTAGGGAAAGCAATATCAAATTGTAGTTATTATTGGGTCTCAAAACCAAACTTGTGGCTTTTTCATCAGTGTCAAATGACATGCACTTCATCTCCTACACCCAACCCACTATACCTCCACACACTCAGACAAAGCAAGTGAGTACATGTGTAGTACCTACAGTGTACAACAGTTAAGCCCGAAGTCCATAAACAACACCTTCAATAGACCCCATCCTTCGAGGTAAAAAATGAGGTGGGATCAAAACTACTGTCACGAAAGTATGAGGGATTGAAAGTGACTTAGGGAGAACCAATGCCATTACAAAGCTGTGGATTCAGGACAGTGCACATGACTTTCAAAAGTAAGTGTGTGTGTGTGTGTGTGTGTGTGTGTGTGGGTGTGTGTGTGTGTGTGGGTGTGTGTGTGTGTGTGGGTGTGTGTGTGTGTGTGGGTGTGTGTGTGTGTGTGCGCACAAGCGCATGACTGTAGAAGGCTGGCTGAAGGCTTAAGATACTGCCAAAATGTGTTTGGATTGGGCGAAAGATCTAGGCCTGTTAAAGCGTGTGAATGAGGGATTGCGATAATGTACAATGTACTGCGTCTGTGTGTCCCATGGAACAGAAAGGCTCCAGGGGTTTTTAAGCGTGTGTGTGAGGGCTTGTTGCACTGGCTTGGCGCTTTTGGACAGGAAGCGTGTGTGGTGAAGACAGAAGATTCACCCTAATTCGGCTGACGAGGGAAATAAAATACCTCAAACCGCAGAGAGAGGGGGGAAAGGGGAAACAGAGAGGGAGGTGGAACATTGAGATGGAGTGAGTCAGGACTTAAACTCACTGACCCTCTTACAATGACATCAGAGAGAAATACACAACATGTAAAAACAAACAACATGGATTTGTGTGGTAGGTGGTAAATAGACAATATGAAGTTTAGAAACTATAAACTATACCAGCGTGATCCTTAGGACACACCGACCTATCTCTAACCCATTCACATGTACATACAAACTACTCTTCCCTTGTGCATACTTACTTGCATGAACTTGCAGGCAACAGCCCTGGCAGTAGAGAAGAGGGGAGGTGCCATCTTCCTGCAGCAGAGGGTTGGTGGGAGTTGGCGGGCAATTCTGCTCCCGGAAAGAAAAGCAGATCTCCGGGACAAGGGGCTTGGTCTTCCTGAGACCTCTACAGGGACGTGTGGGGCCCTCCATGGGAGAGGAAGATTTGGAGGTGTCCTTTGCTGTGGCAGGTCTATTATCCTCTGCTTTGTCTTCAGGCTATGGAAGAAAAAGAATGGGTGACTTTCATGCTCATCTGAAGCACTTCTTAGTATTACACAGGGAGGTGGGTGATAAAACTTGCTCATCTGGACAGCAATTAGCCTGTGGCAAATTAGCTGTGGAGAAACCCTGTGACCTTCATCATTAACGGGCCTAGTATTATTGTTAATAAATAAAAGTGTTCAGAGAAAACTTGTGATTTGGCACTATACAAATAAACATTGACTTGATTTGAATATTAGCATTATTTACAGGTAATTATTTAGAAGTAATTTAATTACCAATACAGACAGTTGTGAACTACTTAAATGTCTCTTTCTACATGTCAATGAGTCTATTCTTTCATAATAAAAAAAAAAGGGACAGGTACCTGCAATCATACTAAATATAGATAGCTCACTACACATAAAATTGGTTCAGTAACCAGTAACATGATGACTTGACATGACATTACAAGCTCTTTACTTTTTCTTTCATTGTCTGAGTTGACTGGTGTTACTGGTGTCCATCAGGTTAGCAAAATATTTTTTTTGAGAATATAGCCGCTAGCAGAAATTATCAGGGTCCAAGCAGCTCGCAAGTATTTAAATACCATATTTATGAATTGCTATTGAAATTTGGCTGAAGCAGGACTGAAGCCTCCAAAGGAAGTGGCCCCTTGATTGGGACACACGTCTTACATCTGATAAAATATACAGTGAGGCCACTTTGTCAGTTAAGGTTCTCCTGAGGAACTAAAAAAGAAAACAGGGTGCCAGTCGTGTTAAAGTGTTTCAGCACTGAGGACAGCATGTGGCACCCCTGCGCATCGATTGGTGATCGTTTCAGTATCACCACTGATAAACATCAACAGGCAGGTGCACTGTCTCAGTACCATCCCTTTTTGCACACGAATAACATCAACAAAATAGACAATAATTAATCAATTAATATTATTTTTTAATTTAACATTATATATGAATATAGGATATGTTTACATAAAATTTAGTGTCATTAAATTATATATTAATATAATTCAATATCATTTATTCGTTCACTCATTTAAAACTCTGTTTTTGAATTTTTGACTTTTTTGACTTTAATACTGGAAGTTTATGACACCATCGACATCACAGATCATACATATATAGAACCTGTATCTTGGTGAGTTCTTATTCTCGTTGCCTTCACAGAAAGACAAGTGAACTATATTCCTTTTGAAAAGTATTTGGAAACATTTTTCTGAAAAAAATGCTTTCCACGACATCACATGCACCATTTCCAGTAAAGAAATGGGATATAATCCACAGTGATAACACCCACTACCTGATAATGGATTTTAATGGAGAGGGATGTTTTGGCAAAGTCGCCCAGTGTTTCGACTTAATCACGTTCGAAATGGTGGCAATCAAAATCCACAAAGACAGTGATGATCCCACCATTCAAAGGGAAGTGGCGATGCTAGAGGCAGTCAGGGCTCTAGACCCACACAAAAAGAACATTTTAAGATTCATGGAGAATATCATGTTCAACAACCTCTCTTGTCTGGCTTTGGAAATGCTAGACAGGAGCCTTTGGGACCTGATAGAGGAGAGGAATTGGGAGCCATTGAGTACCAGTGAAATAGGGCCTGTGACCCACCAGCTACTGTTTGCTTTTGAAGCCCTGAAGAATATTGGAATCATGCACACAGACTTGAAACCTGTCAATATTATGGTTGTTAACCACAAGGATCAGCCATTCAGGATCAAGCTGATCGACTTCGGTCTGGGCCTTCCAGTAAGCAAGGCGAAGGTTGGAATGATCATGCATTGCTCCGGAAGTGACTTTGGGCCTCCCCTTGTCTGAATCTGTTGATATGTGGGGAGTGGGCTGCGACATGGCATTTATGTACTTTGGTCAACACCTCTTCACTGACAACTGTCCATATCACTGGATGAAAGCTATGTTGCAACTGCTGGCTCAATCAGTTGATCACCAGCTGATTGCGGAGACGTTTTTTTGACTGGGCCTGAAATTTAGAGGATGCAGTAAAGAGATGTCCAGCAAAATGGGATGATCTGGAGTATTAAGACTGGATGGCATTTTTAGATCTCCGAAACTGGTGCCTACATCCAGATACTAAATGCAGAATTATTCCCAGGAGAGCCCTTAGACACCCTTTTGTAACAATGGTTCACTTGGTAGATAAAGTGGAGAGCAGCACCTATGCAGAATCTGCCATTCAGTTCTTGACTGTTTCCCACCAGCAACATTTTGATGGATCAGATCATGACTGGGTTTATGAAGAGTCAGCCTTTGTGAAATTTTATTGTCATGATTCAAACACTGCTCTCATGACTGACTTACAGAAGGAGCCATCTACTGGAGAAGATTCATCAGCTGACAGTTTTTCTGCTTACGACGCAGACCATAAGGATTACAGCGCTGAAGATTCAGACAGCATTCATTCTCACCACTGTAACTCTCACTCTAAGAGTAACAGTGACTCTCACAGTGAGAGTTACAGTGACACACACTCAAACACTGCGAGCTCTAGTAGAAATGAGGCTGTTATTGAGTTTTCCAATGATGAAGACAGTAAAGAACCAGCCACTAGTGACTCAGACAACAGAGAATAATTCTAGCCACACCTCAGTCACAATGAGGATATTTAGTCAGCCACCAGTGAAAAAGATGACCTTAGGTATGATCCAGTGAAATGTTGTTGCAGTCATTCAAACACTGGCCATGATGCTTTTACTAAGCCAGCCAGCCACCAGTGACCCCCATGATAAAGAACCATCTCCCTTAAGCCCCACCGCCAAAGATGATACAGAGCCAAGCAAGCCACCTGGACCCTCAGCAGCAACTGCCCATTATGATGGGGTCAAAGACACAGCCACTCCCAGTAAAGAAGAGCGAGGCACCACTGCTCCCCTCAATGACAATACAAACATCGATTGTTTGCCAGTTGCCAGTAACGCATCTGATGACAGACCATCATCTAATGTCCCAAATGATGGAGCTGCAGCGTTCGTCCCTTTAAACGACGCAGCTGCAGCTGCCATCAGACCTGCTGATGCTGATGACACCAAGACTGGCCCTGATGGAGCCGGAAGACTGTTTCCCAAAGAATCGGCAAATTCTTTCATGAAGTGAAGAAACGAGTTACTTCCATCTTTAAACGCCGAAAGAAATAATCTGCAACTTAATAATAATAATAATAATAATAGTTAAAGGGCCGGTTTGAAGCTGCTGCCTAATCTCTGACCAGTTCTTTGTGTTTCGACCGCCAAAGAACCGGTTCTCCTTGCTGTCTTTGCAGGTTTAGAACCTAGTCTCTCCCATTCTCTCTTTCAGTTTAAAACACTTAAAGCCGATAAAATGTTGGTGTGAAAGTCCTGAAAAAAATCATCCATCATTCTACTGGTTTCAGGAGAATCATCAAATAATTTGGTGAGTTTGAATCCAACACAGAGCTAAAAAGAAAATGTGCATAGAGTAAAAATTATAGCAAGATAATTCACTGAGGCACGCCCTACAGTCAGAATATCCCAAAACTGTATTACAATGCTAGGTGCTAAGGTCCGCAGATGTACACCGAGTTTGGTTACAGTAGCAGAAGGCCATTTTCAATAAAAATTGCACAAATGTATAGATCATTATTATAGCACCACCTTTCAGACAATTAGTTTTATTTTTTGTCCCTGAGTAGTGGGTGGAATTTATTTTCATGAGTTTTTCTCCAGTAGTTTTTGCTATTCAGCAGCATTCACTGCTTGGACCCCTAATAAACCTTTTCAAAAGGAAAAGGAATTCTATGAACAGGGAATTAAATTATAGAAGGACCTGCAAGTTTACTGAAAACCATTAGGTAATTGGGGCCGTAATTATAACTAGGGGTGGGGAGGTCAAAAATAAGACATATGCACTTCAGACAGGATTACAATCACTGCCCAGTGCAGGTTAAAATGAAATCATCCCACCTCCCATGGAGAAAAGACACATGGTCAAAATGAAAGTGATCTGTTTTTAAGTGCTCTGCTCATATTGGTTTCTCCATCCTCCGCTGGGTGCCAAGGAGATAGAGTCATATTTTAAGGTGTGTTTATGCTCAAGTCGGTAGATAACCTCATGAGAGCCATCTTGCGCGAATGGAACTGTAATGCATTTTAGATACAAGCATCCACCAAATGATACTTATCATATATTTGTGTAGAACTCCCCTTTACCTGATAATAGGGCATGAAGAGTGTGCACACAGCACAGCATGGCTGCATGGTGGCTGCATTAGCATTGTACTCCCTCTCTGCTGTGAAGCAGCTCTTCCTGTTCTGCCACAGGTAGATGAGGGGCTTCGCCCACACTTCCATTTCTTGCTCCTCCTCCTCTGCCAGGCTTGCTTCAGGGGGCTCTAAGTAGAGACAAAATAAAGCCTTACAACCTTGCAATCACTTATCTGTTCAACTAGTGCCACTTTTACTGTAGCCCAGATGGTAATTCATGCAATACCAAGTGCAAATCTCTGGTCTGGTAGTTTGTTAATTAAGCCAATTATGAATCTGAAACAACTGTGTGACCTGAATATAAAAAACCACAGCATGCATCCCTCAGAATTGACTTCTTCAGTATTAATAGGCTTGCTGCTAAGTCAGATCTAATCTATCCACAGTGGTGACAATTTCCTCCAGTGACTTATTTAGTAAATTTTCAAATGAATAGGTGTCTGTCTGTTTATAAAATTGCCCAAAAAGATTAAGAGATCTCATCATTGTAAAATTGGCTTCTCACAGCCACGGTCATTTCTTACTCTGGGATAAACAACTAAAATGGCTGCTGAATTATTCATCCTTTTTCACAACCATGGAGATGATGAATGTGACTGTGCTTATATGTACATTAGAAGTTGTTAATCGAGGGCCCTCTCTCCCACCCTGTTAAAACCATGAAAACAAATACAGTATCTATCACTAGGTCATTTTACTGTGGTGGGCCTGAGAGTTAAATCTGTTTGGTTTATGTGCACACTGACGTCAGAGAAACCATTTTGGGGGGGACATAAAATGTGAAAAATTCGGAAGGGAAGTGGGGACCGCAGAGTGAAATGGTTCAATGGTTATAAAAAGCTGCACTATGGGAGAACACAAATGATACCTGGCATTACTTAATATTTAAAAGTTTTTTTAAACTTCATTACAACTATAATTCTATTCCTTAGAATATTTTTTGCGAGCTACGCTACCCTTTTAACAAAGAAAATATCATTGTATTTGAGTATGTTCAGAACAGGGTTTTAGTTTACAAAGTCAACTAATCAAAAAAAAAAAAAAAAAAAGTTATGGCAACTGTATTCTGTTTCACTGCAGTGCAACCAAGAGAAGTCAAAGGATCATGGTTTCTGGCATGGTGCCACCCGCTATGCAGCACCAACCACACTGGTAATTTTGCTGGATTTTTTTTTTTTTTTTTTTTTTAAATAAGCCTGACACTTGATTTACAGTAGCTGCGTTTGTCACGCTCCGAAAAGTCTTTTCAAGGCCCGACCTTAGTGACACCTTTCAATGAACTATGTGTATGTGTTTGTGTGTGTGTGTGTTTAAATGTGCCCACCATCATCACTGGTGGCCTGTTGTTTGACAGCAGTGGGAACAGCCCTTGCAGTAGGTTTCCTGAGTGGGTGACGCCAGCTCTTTGTGGTCCTCTTCACTGACAGGGCAGGGTACTGGCATGAACAGGCATCATTGGAAGGCGTTAAGAGTGCAAATAACCTGTATTTGTATTAAACGTGAGCAAAAGACTGAATTTGTATGACTGCATGTAAAAAAAAAAAAAAAAAACAAACACTCACAGCACAAACCTCCCCAGGTTCAAGGCCTGATTCATCACACTCATAGTTACTTGTATCATTTTCCTCCTCTTCTTCTTCCTCCTCATCAGATGACTCACTACTGCTCTCTCCCTTGGCACTACTTTGCTGCTCCGCCTCTTCGCCATCAGATCCCCCTATTTCCATATCAGACACACCATCCTGTTCTCTCTCTCCCGTCCCGAGAGGTGAAACAGCTGCATCTGAATGTAGACTCTCCTCTGCCTCCCTTTGTCTCCCTAGCTCCCTGCACAGAGAGAGAGCTTCAGCCCCATCCTCTTCCCCTCTGTGGAGCCCATAATCTCCACAAAGCCCCAGTGGCTCAACAGCACCAACAGAAACTAGAGAGGTGGGCTCGAGCTGCGCCCAGGTGAGGGGCCCACCTTCTTCTTCCTGGTTCTCTGACTCGCGCAGGTCTTGATCTGGGTCCTCCAGGTCTGTGACCTCTTTGCACTGAGGTTCAGTCCACATGGTGTAAGGTAGGGGGTCATGGGTGAAGTCGGAAGGGAGCTCAGGGTGCAAACTCTGAATGAGGACTGCAGGACTCTGGGAACTGAAGTTTTTCCAGATGCTGGTGGAGAATGATTTGGGCTCCATGTATGGGTTCTGGGAAGTACAATGGGAAGGTGAGAATGTAGTGTGGTGATTTAGTTGTAATGCTGAGTGGCTGTCACTTTGAGTGCATAATGGAGGGAAAGGGGCTGGGGGATTATTGTTTGAGGCACCAGTTAAAAGAGATCCAGCACTGCTCAGACTGAATGTACTGTCTCTTTCTGTTGACTCTTTGGAGTCATCTGTACTTGCTAACTCTGCTAAGTTGGAATGCTGCTCTGTTTGAGGTGCACCACTCTGAACTAGCTGGCCAGGGGTAGCATCACTCTGTCCAGGAGTAAGATTTTCCAGCTTTGTATGATCCTTTTCTACAGCAATGTCTGGCATTATTAGCATTTTGTGGGCACTACCAGATGTTATTTTGTGCATCGCATTGGCAGTTAAATGAGCCGTGTTTCCTTCTAAACCAGACACTGCTGCCCCTTCGCAATTATACGGAGAATCTAAATGCCAGTTGTTGGCGTGTTCTACAGTAAGAGACTCTTTTGATGTCATTAATTCAGTTTCTCTCTCTTCCCGTTTGGCTCCATGTGAGGACAGAGAGCCAGTTGGCGTCTCCCGCTGTAGCACAGGTGCAACCTGGTGACTGCACATACTAGACTTTGGTTCATCAGTTAGCCCATCATCTGCCGGGGTGAGGGAGGGCATCTCTTGGGTTAGTACAGGTGGCAAAGGGCAGATTCCAACCTTATCTGCTGGCTCAGGAGTGAGTTGTGGCATATCCACTGCATTCCTCTGTAGCAGAGGAGGGAAAAGATTTTCCTCAGTGCTGCTTTTTTCTAAACTGCAATTGTGTCCTGAAGGGGAGAAGGAGCCACATGATGTGTAACTATCCCCCTCTACTGGCTCAGCTTTGAGATCATAAAGTGCTTCTGTAGTGGAGTGTGGAGTGATATGTTTTGTGTCAACTAGTGTGTCCATTTTCTCTGCTTTAGCAGTGTTGTTAGTGTAATTCTCAGTACCTGTGTCCATGTTGCTGTCAGTGTTTGGTGTTAGGCTTAAAGTGTCTTCTCTACATGAGGAACTAGATGTCTGAGGTTCACAGTCTGGGGGACACAAGCTCATCTCAGTCTCAGCACAAGTGCTTGTTGTGTTGGAAGATGAGCTGGGTTTGTTGGCCTCCAGGTGAGTAACTCTGATAGAGCAGTCCTGAGAAGTTGAGAGGTCTTGTGGTTCAGGAGAGCAACACCTTGACTCATTAATTGCAGGATGCATCTGGGTAGCCTCAGGCTGTTGTCTGAGTCCTTCAGGAGTCCTGCTTGTGGCCCCTGACCCTGAGAGGTGTTGAGGGTCAATATGAGTGACTGTTTCTGCCTTTAGGTCATTCTTTATTGGTGAGGCAGGGGAGGGAAACAGGCTGCAGTGAGAGTTATAGGATGGCCTCTTGCTGGAAAATCCCAAACTATTGCTCTCGACACGATTTACCTTGACCACACACATCTGTCTGCAAGGATCTGTTGAGGATAAAAAGGGTGGATAAACTGTGTCAAGTAAACAAGGTCTGCAAAAACATTTTCATAGATCTCAGTTGAGAGGAATTTCCAGAATATAAGAAAATAGGCACACGGACTCAATCACACACACACACACGCGTGCGCACACGCACACGCACACACACGCACACGCACACGCACACACTAACAGGCCAGCTTGTGCACTCTTCAGATCAAAGTGATATCCAAAGTCTCAAATACCTTCCAGTGCCATCCGTTTGTCTCTTACCATGAAGCTGAATAGAGTTCTGATTCAGGTTGTGCTTTGACTCAGCTTCTTTTTTCTTCTCTTTCTCTTCTTCCCTGCAGGTTGTTCCTGCCACAGCCCTTCGCACCTTGGGCCCAGGCGGACCACCCAGGCCTTTCCTCTTGCTGTTGCTCAGAGCTGAGCTGCCATCCAAGCCAACAGGCTCCTCTGTGGTTCTGAGGCGCTTGGAGCGCATACGAGAGTGGCTACTGCTGTAAGAAGGGAGAGAGATCAAAGAAGATTGAGACTAAAAACCCTGATTAACACTGAAATGTTGTGAAAACAAGAGTGGAATTTTGTGACTTAGGAGACAAGGGCATTTGGCTTTTGAAGCTGCCATTTTTTTCTGTTCATAAACATAAAGTCAATACAACAAGGACATCAGTCACCTAGTCTTTAGTTCATCATCACAAGCCGGTGCTTCTCCAAATGTTGCATTGAAAATTTCCTTTTCGTATCTTTATTGACATCAATGAGGACTGTGTTGTCATTAAATGTATCACATCAAAATATTCAATCGGCACCACTCCTACACTTGATTAAAATCCCACTAGCACATTTAGCAAGTATGATTCCAGTACCCTTTATTAGTAGGTTTGGTCTTGCGGCGCCTCTGCAACCAGCTCTGCAGCTCCGGTGTTGTACTGGGAGTGGCATGTGTGTGGTCGATAGGTGTCGAGTCTTTGCCCACCATCCAGTTAGGATACCGGTCAGGCTGAAAACGCTTCACAAAGGGTTCCATGGATATCTTCACCATATCCTTGCTACATGTGCACTAGAGGAAGGAAAGAGGAGGACAAATACCATATTTGCTTTAGAAAAACATAGAGAAGCTTTGCTTTGTGTGACTGCACATATCGGTGCCTACTACTGAGCCTTAACTACAATCTGTTCTGCGGGATACTATAAGTCGAAAACTGAACTGAAACTGAAATTAATCGTATTTAAATCTGGGACACCTCAAAGACATGAAGGACACATTTTTAAGAATAGGTTGGATGCTACCTGTGTGGCCACCTTGCCATAGTCTATCCAGCGGACAGTGGCAAAGTTGGTGGACTCTGCACAGTTGAAGCCATGATTGAAGCCAGCATGGTAGCCGTAAGGGAAGGTGATCATGAACTCTCCAGCTTCCTGAGTAATCTGACAGTTCATGTTAGGAAGGGAGAAAGACAAAGGGAGAGAGACTTTTTCATCAGACAAGATGGGTGACAAAACACTGAACTGTCTTTTTGTTTTTTTAAATGAGCAAAGAATAGAAAATAAATAAAACAATCTAAGAAAGTCACTGCAGATTTCTGCTATCAACAAGTACTGCTAATTTTAGTGGCAGAAAAAGCTGGTTTCATAAAGTTGGTAAATAAAGGGAGTACAAATGGCAAGAAGAGGAGGACTGAGGGTAATTTTTCAAAGAGGCTGAGAGCCTACCTTATCAAAGGGAATTCCATACTTCTTCAGTATGGAAGGGGAGATTAAAGTCATCTTGTGACGAAGAAAAGCCTCACACCCCTTGAAGCTATTGGGAAAGAAACCTGACAAATATCACGCGCGCGCACACACACACACACACACACACACACACACACACACACACACACAATTAAATACTATGATAAGACAAAAACAACCAAAAATATTTAACCTGGGAATATATAACCAGTAGAATTTTGGTATTTTACCCGATAAATACATTAGAATAGGATTGTTACAGATTACTGCCCCATCTTTTTACCTTTGTTGACTGCATGGCTGTCTATAACAACTAGGCACATATTATTCGACTATAAAAATTATTCATGGAAGTAACCAGCATTGCAAACTTGGACCTAATAACTACATAAGCATGAATTTAGCTTACTTGAAACTATTTTTTAAACAGTTTAGTTGTAAATGTAACTGTATTCATTACATTTTTTACACCAATGCTATACAGGATGGATTTTCCTTTTGTCAATACCTTAAGTGCTTGTACAGTTAACACCTCTACTAGTGGCAGCTTTTGCACGTTTGCAGTCAGAGCTCATTAGCATGCTGCATCTTTAGCTTTGCCATTACCTCCAGTGCCCTCTCATTGCTGAGTTTAATTTATGCGCTGTACCTTGTTGCTTTATGCAGGCTTGATTCTGAATGCGGCAATCGTTATTTAATAATTATTTAATTGGCTCATCCACCTCCATTTATATGGAGAATACAAAGAGAATATAAATTATTCTTTTACCTGTAGCCAGACGCTCCAGTCTCTTCCCATGCTCAGGGGGAATGGCATACCTGTTAGAGACAACAGAGAGATATGAGTGAAATTCTGAACATGTATTGTTCATTAAGCCTACAGTGTAGCATATACTGACAGTTGCAGACAAGTTCTCAGGAGGAGACTTTACAATTTCAAGACTGCCATCAAGTGGAGGATACATGAATAACTGTAAAAAGGCTCATGAACCTTTTCCAGCACTGCACTGTTAATGAACACACATTACAATATACAGGAAGATGTTATCTTGATCACATATGAAATTTCAAATTTCCTGTTTCTCCTAATCTGCTTGATATTAGCTTTTCAAGTCAAATTCTGACCATTTACAATTTAGACGTCCTAATGTATTAAATCTTGGTTTCAAAATACGAGACTCATTCCATCTCTGATACAGATGAAATAACCATGACTGACAGCACCTGAGTTAAGAGTTTAGGGAACCTTATTTTGACCTTATTCCACAATTTCTTGTGCTACACTGCTGACGCAATGTGAATTTAAACTATTTCCAAAGTTCCCTATGAGAAACCCAGAGAGCGTGACAGAATTCCCTCAAGGTTTGACTAGGCATTCCATTTGACTAGCACCACCCGCCCTCAGGTCTGTGGCATTTCTATCATCATATCACCTGTCAGCTTAACAGAGCAGTGAGAGACAGGGTGAGAGGGGGAGGCAACCTCAGGTAGAGGTGACATGGGGAGTTGGAGGGGGTACTGGATTGAGAGGAGGTGAGAGAGGTGCATCTTTAAGCCGCTCTCCTCCAGGGACAAGATGTCAAAATAGCAGCAAGATGAAAGAGTGTACGTCAGCATGCGCTAGATGATAAAGGTATGCATGTGTGTGGGTACTTGGCACACTCGGCAGCTCTTTGTGAGTGTGAGTGTGCGTGCGTGCGTTTCTATGAATGTGTGTGTCACTGTCTGGCTGTGACACTGATCCCTGTGGGGTTGCAGGGCTCACTGCTCTAATGAGCAGAACTCCCTCCAGGGCATGAGGGAGAGAAAAATGGAGCGAGCCAAGCTGACAAAGAAATAGAAAGCAAACTCCATTTTGATCTATCTGCATTCTTCACCTTTTTTTCACACTATCATTTTAACGTGAACCTCCTAATTAACCAGCTCCTCTTCTATTGAATAATGTAAACGCTTTAACAAATACCAACTAAACCAATGCAATACATAGTCTGTGACGACCTCGATCATGTTACACTCGTTACAGTATTTTATTATGAAATTCAAACAAGATAGTTTGACAATTTGAAAGTAGGTCAATGTTGTACCTACACCTAAAAATCTACCATCTGGGAAATCAATTTCAACCTCATCTTCGCTTCTCTTATCATGTTTCACTTAAAGAGTTCAGTCACTTTATGACACTGTTAACTGATCCAGGTCCAAGTCTGAAGTGTTAATTACAAAAAAAAGTTATATTTCTCCAGAGAAAGTACAGTAATTCTGTCCTCTGGATCCCCCCCAAAAAATCTGTCAAAAATATGTGACCCACACTACGAGGCAACTTATCCACACTCTTCCACTCCTGACATATAAATAGAGAAATCAACTGTCAGTAGTAAGCAGTACGAAGATGAGATCTGCAAAGATATAGAGTTTAAGTGGGAGTAGTAGTAGTAGTAGTAGAATTAGCTGCAGAAATACTACGACTAACACACTTGTATTGATCAGTATAGTGGTGTTTAAGGTAAATTTATACAGTGCTACAATTTATAGTATATGGTTGACTGGTTAAAACATTAACTGCAACAATTTTGCCTTGTTCCACCCTAAGGACAAGACTGACAGCTCCCAAGAAATCAAAACATATGCTTTCACCATTGGAGAATAACACAGCTCCCTCCCTAGACACCAATCAAGCCCCTTATGCTGGATATGTTGTGCATATTCTGTTCTCACTAGTAGTTAAACCCTCCAAAGCACAGTCATTGCACATGACCTCCTCAGTGTGCAAACAAGCAATAAGGCAACAAAGCCCTAGGGCCGCATGCAACAGATTTACCAGGTAAATCAATTTAAACCTATGACATTGTATTTAATTAAAATCGCCTCTAATCATGAAAAACTTCTGACAGGAGAGTCAGTACTAAATATGGCAGCCCTGACACAAATATGGATGTGCATTTTATAAAGGCCATGAGTGTTAAGACTCCAAATAAATCGCAGTCTTAACAAGAGCAGAGACACCATAGAAATAAAATGGACAGACCCTTAAATGGGAAAAACTTAAAAGAATTAAAAGAAAAGAAGGTAAAAGAAGGTAAATGTGAACATACAGGTGAGGCACAAGTACACTTTTTCACAAATACCTTTGTGAAAATAGCACTCTTGGATGCTGTTGTAACCTCAGTTACGGTGGTGTTGATTCAACACTATGATAAATTTGGGCTGTAGTTTGTCGTACTGCTGCACTGCAATGCACTGCATTGCACTGCATTGCATTGCACTGTGCTACACAACTGCTGAGCTGCACAACTGCTGAAGCTTGTACCAAAATCTCTGTGCCACACTAACCAGGACTTGGGCTCGCCAAAGTGGAGGTAGTTGATGCTGTACAGATCCATATCCTCAGTGTGCCAGGAGAAAGTGGTCTTCCACATGCCAAAGTATAGATATGGAGTGTTAACCCCCTGGATGGATACACCACAGTCCTCCTCGATAACATCCAAGATGGAATTCAGGTGGCCAATGTTCCACTCCTCTACATCCTGGGAGATGAGAAACAAAGGTTAGAGAGCTAGGCAACAGTGGTTTTAATCCAATCAGTATCAAATACTGTATATTCTCTCCTTTGTGAATGATCTAAATCATTTTTATGGACAATTTGACATCAAATGCTGCAAAGAGAAGAGCAACACCATCTGTACCAACATAACCAGAAACCCCACAATCCATCTGTCCGAGAAGGAGGTTGGCACTTGAGTCTCTCGGTTTAAACCCCACAAAGCACACAGACCTGATGGTCTACAAGGATGCTTTTGAAGGTGTGCTACATCCAGCAAGGGTCAGTTTTAATTTAACTAATCCAGTTTTTACTGCACACCTGTACTGTGCCTAATATGGAAGGCACCTATTATTGGTTCCCTACTAATAAGGGTCCAAAGACTTGAATAACATCTGCCCTGTAGCATTAACCTCTGTACTGAACAAGTGCATGAAGAGGATCGTCAATAAACATCTCACCTCATGCATAGCAATACAACTGCACCCATTACAGTTTGCTTATAAAACCACTATCACTATGAGCAACATGGTTGCCAGTCACCTACAAAAGATAAACATATTTTGTTGTTGATTTTAGTTCAATCTTTAACATGATGCAAAATCATGTAATCCAGTAACAGCTGTTGGACCTAAGGGTGAGCAGAGGCCTTGTGCACTGGGTCAAGGATTTTTTTAACTTGCCACCCACAAAGAGCCTGTGTTAAGGATGTACTATCTGATGTTTTTTTTTTGTTTTTTTTTGTTTTGGTTTTTTTTAAACACAGGGGCCCCGCAGGGCTGTGTTTTATCTCCAGTATTATTCTCTGTGTGCACTAATGAAGTGACACTGCACAACAGCAATTTTAAGCTTTTTAAATATGCTGATGGCATGGCTTTAATGGGCTTTTTTTATAAAAATGATTGAACAGAACAGTGGTGTAGGTCCAGCTCATTGTTGATTAATGTTGGAAAAACAAAGGAACTTATTTTAAACCAAGCAGACCAGTGTCATCATTGATATTGTGTGACCAAACCATGGAAACTGTTAACCGTTTTAAGTATCTGGGAACACACATAGATGACAAACTGAGTTTCACAGACAATGTTGATTTTATGTGTAAGAAAGTCCGTCAGACTTTTTTAACTAGGAAAATGACGGGGTTTGGGGTCATTCTTTATGTTTTGGAAAAAAAGTATGTCAGCCTAATAGAGAGAGCACCCTTGTTTTAATATCTCTGTCTGGTATGGGCACTTGACTGTTGTAAATAAAAACTTGTGAGATAACAGATGGTTTTGGATGTGTGACATATCAGTTGTTAATGAGATGTTATGTAACTCGTGGACATGTTTATATTTTTATTTTTCTGAGTGAGACCAAAGATGCCTCAGTTGGACAATAGAGTTTATTCTATTCTATGCTATTCTAAAATGTAACTTTATGTACAGGAGATGATACTGTATATATGGTGGTGGGGGAGCAGCCAACCAGCTTCTCCGGGGTGGCCAGCTGTCACATCACCCCTATTGCTCTCCATCAAAATGCTAGAACCATTATCCTACAAGCAGCATTGTAAGCAGTGAAATGTGAAGCAGAAGAAAATCTGTAGTTTCAACTAATAGAAACCACACAGTGATGAATTTAAGCAGTTCCATCAAAATACCAAAATATGGTCACTTTCTATTTAAGTGACAAATGCCAAGTATACAATGCCTCTAAAGTCCTGCTGTTGAAACTTGTTGCTTTAGGTTTAAAACTGGATTTTCCAACTATGACACAGGCACTTCATTACTTCATTACAGCAACTATACAACAAACTAAACAACACTTAATACCCAAAGAAAAGCTGCAGCGCAGCCTACATTTTCTTAGGACAGAACATTTTTATACAGAAATATCTAATTGCTTTACTTATTGTAATGTACCCCTACACTGGCTAAAGTGTGCTCTCTGAACCTGCATTATGAAGGGGAAAAAAAACTCAGATTAGACTTGATACTGAACTCCCTGTGTAAAATCTTTATGATTTTTTCATTTATTCTCATGCGTTGTTTTTAGATATACTGTAGGAAACAGTTTCAGTGTTTAGTAGTAGTAGTCTATGTTTTGCTTTGAATAACCAGTGACAGAGACAAACCAATATGCATGTAAATGGGGGAGTACCAACAGAGCGAAAGCAACAAGAGAGAAAGAAAAGCCATCTACCTCATCATAGAGACTGCCACTGACATCAGCACCATATATGGGTGAGACAAAAGTGAGGTTCTTCCAATATTTCCTCTCGAGATCTTCATAATTCAGGTAGCGTGGCGTGCAGTACCTGTGGAGGACAAAGAAATTAAATTTGGTACTGTGGATGTACAGCATGTGTAGTCTTGTACAGTGAAAACCTTCATCGGGAATAATACATCATCAGCTACATTTCATACCCTTACTAAATATCACTCTTGCACTTTTAAACCACTCATCCAATTTGAGGTTGAAGGTCTGGAAATGAACATGTAAACCAGGGACTTTACTGCTGTTCTCACTTTTTTATGTTTATGTAAGATTAGCAGATTCTCCTTTATTCTAGATATTAACTGTGTGGCATGTATTGGAATATACAATTTGTCATGTAGCCTTTGGACAAAAAGTTAGATTCTTATTTTGGCAGCACAACATTAGCCACTGAATGTGCTTGAACGCAATGTAAGTGTTTGTCCTCCCTCTAAAATAATCAATCAGACAGTAAATACAGTTTAAAAGTCTTCTATATTACTCACATGTCACTGTTAGCTAGTCGCCTGAACTCCTGCACACTAAGAGGCTTTTTCTGGATGTTGTACTGAGTGAAGAGCCCTGACTGGCCTGCCACCATCTGCTGAATGGGAGCATCGATCATCAGATCATCTATGTCGTCATAGGTACGACGGGGCTTCCAGCCTTTCGGAGGAATCACCTGGGGAACAAACAGAGGAGCAAAGGCTTGTTGTTGGAAATATGCCAGGGACATAGTTATCTAGCATGAATACATCACCCTAATCAGCATTTCATCATTATGAATCCACAGTGGTTAACCCACTACTTGTAATAGGGCAGCTAGTTTATTATTCATGTATATATCAATCACACTATGTGTCTCAATGTCTTTCTCTGCTTCTCTTTATTTCTGTCTTTCTTCTGGCTGACTAAAGCTGCCTTCCGTCCAAAATTACAATAGTCATTAAGCTGTGGGTTTAAAAAGGAGGAACTTTTGACACACCAATCTAGTAGACATAACAAAGTCTATCACACGGTTCTCAAATTTCACACAGAGATAAGCACTTTATCCAAGTTGTGATTGAAAATATTACCTACCTTAGCCAGGCCTGCGCGGTGTGCACCCTGAGACTCCATATAAACCAGGTACTGATTGAAGTCCCTGAACTCCTCCATGGTGGGCCTGAAGGTCATAATCTTGCAGGTGGGGTTTGCAGGGGTGTACACCTCTGCTCCCGCCATCCTGCCGCCTCACCAGATCTAATCTGGAAAATAAATAAATAACATCAACTTATATTTTATTTTATAGTAGACTTTTAATGTTGACACACACTGGATTAGGTAATCATATATTGATTACTTTGTTAACTATGGTGGGCATGTACATAAATGATTATTTTATTAGTGGTGATGCAGTGTTTTCTGAAAGATTGTCTATGGGCAAGATTGACCGAAAAATTTAAAAATGATAAACATAAGCAGAGAATGGGCAAACGAGAGAATCTGTCTATTTTTAAAGGGTAAAGGGTGTCATCTATTCAGAGCATACTGAATAGTATATACTCTATACTGTAAATGTACAGATACAAACATATCCGGTTACTGAAAAGTAATTTATTTTTATTTGTTTTCAACTTTTAAAGTGTTTTAATTGTGATTAATTCATCTAGTGTGTGTTCATTTTAAACTACTGTTCTTAGATTACCTATTGTTCTCTTCTTTTAATTTTGCTACATTGTTTAATTATTTTTTGTTGATTGGAGTCACCCATTTTTGATGGTTGCCAATTATTTTTGGCTGTTGGGTGCATTAATAACAGAAAACAGTCAAGTTAAAAACATTTAAAAACATTATGCCTGTACCCATATCACGCATTGGCACAATTCAAGCATTTTCTAACTACTTCTAATCATTTTCACTTCATATGTTGTTGCAGTGATACATTGACTGATGCATTGAATCATGCTATTACAAATTCAAACTAGTTTAAGTGTTGCTTAATTTATAACGTAATATCTTTTGTTTAGGTTCTCTTTCTCTAATACTTTGGTGCAAATTTTATATTGACCATTTCAAAATCTGTGCCACTAGACGTAATTTATAGGTGTAAACTGGACCATGAGGCAGCTGGGTTGTGTGTTGCCGACAAGTTCACCACTAGATGGAAGTAGAGATCCAACAGATGTCGATTTGATCCATTGATGTCAACAACCCTTTTCAGATTTTTGTCCCATCCACCCATCCCACTCCCAACTCCGACTTTACTGAGCATCCAGACAAAGGATCACATTGCCCCGAGTGAGGCCATTGCGTTTTCAACCTTACATTTCTTCATACCGCTACTTCAGTGCAAACAACGTTACAATGGCGTGCGACCCGATTATGTAACAGGCAATTGCAGGCTGAAACAAGTTTTTACTAAATATCATCCACAGTGTTTGGACACAATGTGTTCACAGCCTTACTGTTTGTTCAGATATTAAAAGAATGATTTCAAAACGTGGATAACCTTAATCGAGCATATTCGGCCTATTTGTTAAAAATAAAACGCACCTGCCATTATTGCCCTGGGGTAATTACATTTCGGTTGAGTTACAATTTCGCTTTTATAACTGCATGAGTGTCTGTAGCTTGGCTGATCTTTGTTGTCTGCCAAACCAGCTAACTAGCCAACTAGCCTACGTTTTGTTATGATGCCAAGTAATGGCTGAACAAATAGCACAGCATGCTAGCTCGGCTGACGAGCTAACTTATAAATACATGGTAGACTTATTGGGTAGACTACTCTTTGGCTTGGACTGGAAATGTGTCCACGGGACCAGATTCAACAGAATTCGGGAACAGCAGTTGGGAAAGGGAAAGAGTAGCTAACTATTAAGCTAACCTAGCTACCACATTAGCTAACTTCTTAATATACGAGTCAACGGGGTTTAAATGTCCCTTGCAAGGTGGCTGCAGACAGGCCCGTAGCTACCTCGCTATGTGACTTTGTGTGGTACAAATGATTTAGTCTGCTATTTACATAATGTATATCTTATTTTGTCGGTATTGCATAAGTTTAGCAACATAAACGAACAATGACAAGGCACACGGTCCAAGATGCCCATTGGCATGAGCTTGTGCCAACTTATCTTAGGCTGGCAACGCTAAGGGTTAGCTGTTGATAGCTTGGCTAATTCTGCACAGGAGTCACGAAATACACTGCGCTTTCTAATGCACTGGGACGGAGCTGGCTACCATGCACAGTTTTCGCCGGTATATCACGTGTTGTTTCTAAGAAATACATAGCATTTTACCTTAATTTAAAGAGACGGAGTGGAGTTGTTGTTTATCCCCTTCCTTGGTGGTCCAGCTGATTCACATGACAGCTGCTCTGACTGCTACCGCTGCTTCGTGCCGTGCAAAACGGATGTGTTTCAGTCCGCCTCCACTCCAGCTCCGCTGTGTGTCAGCCTGCTGAAAGGCACGACCGTGGTGGACCGAGCTGTGGTGGACTTATCCATACACTGTGAGATCTGCGAATCTGCAGCAGAGTCATGAACTGGAAAGCAGCCGGAGGCACCTGCATCTCCACCATGAAACTGTTTTATTTCACATTGCACATTAGAGCTGCAAAGATTTATCAATTAGTCCAAAAATTAAAAAAAAATTATAAAACTCCACCAAATCAACAACTATTTTGATCATCGGATAATCGTTTAAGTAATTGTAAAACACAAATAAAAAACTTATGTTCTCAGATGTGAGACTTTGCTGCTTTTCTTGGTCTTGCATTATATTAAATTGGATATTTTTAGACAAGACATTTCATTGTCACTTTATTCTCTGGGGCAATGTGATGGGCATATGTCGTTCATATGTAATCAGCGAGCATTCTCTAAAATTTCTCAGTGTTCTAGGAACGTTTGCTAAAGATTATTTTTGTGGAACCTTAAGAGAACCTTTAGGGAACGTTGCCTAATGGTTCTACAATAACGTTCTGCGAACATTCCTGAACCGCATATTTTACCTAAAATGAACAAAAACTTTCCTGAATTACCTCAGGGGAAACCGAAAATTATTAGCTGCGAACTCTCACTGTTTCCTTTTGTTTTATAGATAAAGCAATGAATCGATTAATCGAGAAATTTATCAGCAGATAATTGAGAAATTAATTGTTTATTGCAGCCCTATTGCACATACATTTCAGGTGTATTATGTTTTTGTGTTAATGGTTGTTTTGTCTTACATTTTTGTCGGTTTTATTATCTAGTATTGAAGAAAACTTATTACAGTTTAATTTCGTTTTGTTTCTTTTTTTAAGTTGAATTGACAAACACATTTAATATTGACCCCTCGGAGCTACATTTTGGAGTTCATTATGCATTTTATAAGATAAAAAAATGTAGCCATAGCTTAATTGCTTTTTAAAGCACCATGAATATTGACTGACAAAAACTAAAATAAAATATCCCCAATACTATCCAGTTCAATTACCTGGATAGAAATTGCTAAAAGGATACACCTCCACCCTCAGGGAAAAAATCCAGAATCTATCACAATTTCATTTAAAAATTTCAACTTCTGGATAAATGGTGTGTCCTACGTCACTGAAAGACCATTCTCATGTATGTCTGTATATGCAATGCAGGCTGCAAACATACTTTGTTTTCAACCCCAAAAATATGAAGATTTCCTGTTTTTAAACTTGGACTCTGAGAAACTCATTATTTTCGCATATACAATTAGAATTACATTACGAAGTGTACACAATGAATATAATTAAGCATAAAAGGCAATGTAATATACTCACAATATGAAAAATATTCGTTAATATAATATTGATATATGTGTATACAACAGGACAGCAGTAGAGCATAAGAATGATATGGCATAACGGATTGTATGGTGTATCATTGTAGTGATTTAGCATATATTACATTCATATACATACCTTTAAGCGTGTATAATTAGGTCCAGTAATGCAAAACGTATGAGTATAATGCACGACTCATCTTTTGACTTCTGTATGTCATGCATGTATGGGTGATGAAACTGAGGAGTGGCCCTGCTGACTGCAGTGACACTCTCTGAACTGCGAGGGTCGCTAGATGACTTTCTGCAAACATGGCTGCCCAGGATGAACTCAGTAAGTTTCTCTCTGCGTTATTGCTGATTAATATCTCCTAAAATGTCGTGTTTGTGGTTGTCAGAGCTATATAAAAGGACGAGCATGATTTATTCTAAAGATCAGGGTGTTTTTTGAAGCAACGATAAAGCTTCCATCAGTTAAAAACTGGGGCAGGAGCGATAGATCGCTGCTCAGCTATGTTAGCTAGCCGGAATGCTAACGTCAGGAGGCCCTTTGCCCAGTCATGGTCAAAATGAAACTATCACGTAGGCTATTAATATATCTTCATTGATCAAACTTTTTAGGTGTAAATTTCCAGTTTGGATGTTTAGGACATTTAGGATTAATTGCACAGGATGTCACTGGTAGTAAAGAGCCAGGGGAATGACGAGAAACGGTGAAATGCGTGGATAGTCTGTCAGTTGATGTAGCTAGGTGGTTTGTGAGCCATGCCAAGAGAAAGAGGGCAGGGCTGGGTGATGGTCACACAGACACAGCAGCTGACAGGACGAGCTTATCAGCCAAACTGTAGCAACATGCATGAGGGGTTGTCTGTTTATAGTTCACTGTTTTAAATATGTATATATAAATATATATATTGCTCCCTTCGCATGGAAGCTGAAGGTCGCACAGCCTGGTTTTGCATTTGGTTGCATACACACAATGGGTTGTTCTCCCATATTTGAATGGAAAGCTATTGTCAAATGAATTATGGCAGAGGTATTATTTCAAACTGACCATATGTGTAGTGTGTTTTCTTGGATAATGGCTGAAGCTACCCAGAAAATGAAACATGAGGGTTAATCAAAGTGTTAAATGTGTTTTTCTGACAGATCAACTGGAACGTGTGTTCCTTCGCCTGGGCCATGCAGAAACAGACGAACAGCTACAAGACATTATCTCCAAGTTCCTACCCCCTGTGCTCCTCAAACTCTCCAGCGTTCAGGAGGGTGTGCGGAAGAAAGTAAGAAGGGTGTTGCCCATCTCTGTGCCTGAACATAGTATCAGTGACTCTTGAGTTCGTGCTTTATAGCTACATCTGTTAATATTATGAATAAATCACGGCCTTCGCCATCAGACCCTCCACCTCAAATATTAGTTTCTCTCTCTAACAAAAATGTAGATAAATGCATAAACCTCGCATTGTATAGTATCTGCACTCACTTCCTCTGACGTCACTACACTTCCTGATAGAAAGATGTTTGTTAGGAGCTTGGATCTTTCTCTTTTGCCAGTGAGTGTTGATTTATACACCTGTTGCATGTAACTAAACCACCAAATTACTCTTTTTGCCTCCTCATCCAGGTAATGGAGTTATTGGTCCATCTGAACAAGAGGATAAAGAGCCGACCTAAGATTCAGCTACCAGTAGAAACTTTGCTGGTGCAGTACCAAGACCCTTCAGCCGCCTCCTTTGTTACGGTATGACTCTTGTTTTACAGTGTAGGTCTTATGGAGGAGGATGTGTAATATACATTGATAATGAAGTCAATTCTTTGCTTTGCTTGCTATTCTTAATATGGTAACATCATTATGTTGTTGTAGAATTTGTAGAGATATGAGATGCCTATTGAGAGTATACTGCAGAATGAAACTGAACATTTCGAGATTCAATCTAATGTGGCCTATGTCAGTGATACTAGATTGATTTGGCTCTTTTTGTAACTTGAAATTGGTAATTGTTAAATTTAAATATTTTGCAGAATTTCACCATCATCTACATCAAAATGGGCTACCCACGCCTGGAGGTGGGAAAACAGTGTGAGTTGGCCCCCACCCTCCTCACTGCCATGGAAGGCAAGCCACAGCCACAGCAGGACAGGTGAGGGGACACACACTTACATACCTTAGGATGCACAAGGATGTTTACTATTATCACAGAGATGGATTAAAAGAAGTGCGTTTTTCAGATACACTTGAGTTTTTGCTTAATTGACACAGACCTTATTGTTTTCTTTTTTTAATTGGATTATGCTTTTCTATCCTCTTCCTCTTATCTTAGCCTGATGCACCTGCTGATCCCTACTCTTTACCATATGAAGTATCCTGCAGATACCTCCAAGAATGCTTTTCCATTTAACTTAACTGAGCGGCCAAAGACAGTGCAGCTGCTGCTGGAGTTCATGTTGGATGTTTTACTGATGCCTTATGGGTGAGGTCCTGCTGTGTGGTTTGTGTACTGTATGACCGTCCAGTGAAACGTGTGCACCAGTTGTTCTCTTAGAAGCATTTTACATTTGAGCAAGAATGTTCACCTGTTCTCTCTTTGGCTCCTCTAGGTTTGTGCTGAATGAATCTCCAACTCGCCCTGCTCCCTCCTCCTCCCAGGGAAGTTCTGCAGATGGGACAGTGGCTGTGGGCGGCCAGGGTCTTCCCCAGCCTCCCCCAGGGATGAGTGTTTATGCTGCCAAGAGGGTTATTGGGGAAGCCCAGTGGAGCGCTGAGCAACTAGAGCAGGTGCAATGACTGAAGCTGGAGGAAGAGTAGTGGCGACAGTTTTGTCAGTTTGTGTGTGCTCGCTGGATGAAGCTTGACTCTCCCAAAAGTTGGAGCCTCAATCAGTTTTCAAAATCTGTAAAATTGAAAAACCGAGCTCAATCCAGAAATTGTCTATCAGTTAACAGCCGGCAAATATGTTTTCAAGTTTGTGTCAGAGCGCTTTTATTTGAAGGGCTGTGTAATGATTTGAGTGAATTTATGGATCGTGATAGACACAGTGTTGTGTTTTTCTTGCGTATCAGCTGATGAGTGGTTCATTGTGTGTTTGGTTTCAACAGTGTAAGCTGGGGATAGTGAAATTCATTGAGGCAAAGCAAGTCCCAGAGGTGGAGACAGTGGTTCACCTGGTGGTGGCGTCCAGCGACACCCGACATAGTGTTGCTACTGCAGCTGATCTGGAGCTGAAGAGTAAACAGAGGTAGGTGAATTGCCTTACATAACCAAATAGTATGTGCTTCACCAATACAACAAAATACCAAATTATTAGGTAATAATAATTACCTAATATGTTGTGTGTTGTGCTACAAATACATGAGATAAAAATCACAAGGCTCCAAATGTCTTTGTTTCTTGGGCAGCAATCCAATGCATTTGTTTTCTTATTTTCCAGCATAATCGATTGGAACAATCCTCTAATTATCAACAAGATGTACAAGGTGTATCTGGGGGATGTTCCTCTTAAAACAAAGGTTTGTAAACTCAACATTTAGTTTTCAAATTTAACCTGTGAATTTTTTGAAATATTAAATGTATAATATTGTTGTGTGTACTGACCCCTATA